TGCTTTTTTTGGTTCCAACCCCACATTTTTGGGTCCCAAATGTTGGGAATTTGGGGAATTTTGAGAATTTTGGGAATTTTGTCCCAAATTTTGGGAATTCAGGGAAATTTTGGGAATTCTGTCTCACCCAGCGCCCGTCCAGCTCCATTTTCCCGACAATTCCCACGATTTTGGGTCCAAAATTCCACTTTTTTTTGGTTCCAACCCCACATTTTTTGTCCCAAATTCCCAGAATTTTTTCCCAAATTTTAGGAAATTCGGGAATTTTTGGGAATTTTTGGGAATTCCATCTCACCACGCTGCCCGGCAGCCCCCTGAGCCCGTCCGGCCCCGTTTTCCCGACGATTCCCATAATTTTGGGTCCAAAATTCCACTTTTTTCTTGTTCCAGTTCCACATTTTGGGGATTTTTGAGTTCCAAATTCACAAAAATTTGGGAATTTTGTCCCAAATTTTGGTAATTTTTGGGATTTTTGGGAATTTTTGTGATTTTTGGAGAATTCCAGCCCAATCCAAGGCCCGTCTGGCCCCGCTTTCCTGACGATTCCCACAATTTTGGGTCAAAATTTCCACTTTTTTTTGGTTCCAACCCCACATTTTTGGGCACCAAACCCCCAGATTTTTGGGAATTTTCCTAATTTTTGGGAATTTTGGGGATTTTTTTTTGAATTTTTCCAATTTTTGGGAATTCCAGCCCACCCCAGAGCCCGTCCAGCCCCGTTTTCCCGACAATTTTGGGTCAAAATTTCCCCTTTTTTTTGGTTCCAACCCCACATTTTTGGGTCCCAAAATCCCAGAATTTTGGGAATTTTTTCCCAAATTTTTGGAATTTTGTGAAATTTCGGGAATTTTATCTCACCACGCTGCCCGGCAGCCCCCGGAGCCCGTCCGGCCCCGTTTTCCCGGCGATTCCCGCGGCTCCGACGGCTCCGATTTTCCCGGGAGCTCCCAAAGGACCCGGCTCCCCCTGGGGATTGGGGCAAAAAACGGGAATTTTGGGAAAAATGGGGATTTGGGGGGAAAATGGGGATTTGGGGAAGGTCTGAGGGGATTTTGGGAGGATTTGGGG